AGGACACAATTCAATCCATAATAGCCATTTAGAGATGGGGTTAAGAGCATAGGATTTGGAATTAGGCAGTTTCAAAGACCTCAAATATGAAGTAGTATGAACTTTTAGTTAATGTTAATTAACTTTTAGTTAAGATTTCTGTGATAATAAAGACTATCTCATGATATTGTGTGAGGATTAAAGAAGATAATATGAGCTTGCATGGTGGCTCATGCCTGTAATCCCAGTGATTTGGGAGGTTGAGGTGGGGGGATTAATTGAGACCAGGAGTTCAAGACCAGCTTGGGTAACATAGCGAGACCCTATCTCTAATAAAAACAAAAAAATTTGCCAGGTGTGGTGGCTCGCACTTGTAGTCCCAGCTACTTGGGAGGCTGAGGTGGGAGGATGGCTTGAGCCTAGGAGTTTGAGGCTGCAATGAGCTCTGATGACAGCCTGGGCAACAGTGAGAGTCTGTTTCCCAAAAAAATAAATACATAAAAAGATAACGTGTGCAAAGCATCTGGCAGAGTGCCTGGCAAGAAAAAGCACTTAGTGGTTATAGCTTCTCCTCCTCCCCTTATTGTTCTTTGTGTTACTGTTATTTGTATTAGTAATAATTATTAACAGTCTGTCGTCAGAACCGGCCTCATCCGGAAGGTGAGGTTTCAGCAGGACTTGAACGAGGTGAGGGAATTCGCTGAGCTGATATCTGGGGGAACATTCCAGGGAAAGGAAATAGCTTCCTGAAGCCTCCAGATTCTTCTTACTTTGCTCCACTTTATTTATTTATTTTTGTTTATCATGTGGCATCTCTCTAACTTTATCAAGTAAACTGGCAATATGGAGGGAAAAGCTTCACCTGACTGGGGCATTTCACCAACCTCATGATCCTAGAGGATGTACCGACCTCGCCAACCACTCACCAAACCCTCAGCAGACGCCCATCAGGCACCTGCTGGATCCTCGCCAGGGTGAGTACAGAGATGAATAGGATATTGTCACCTTCCTTGGGGGACTGAGGGGACCACCACGCCAACCGCGATGACTACTGCTAACATTTATACAGTCCCTTAGAGTTTATGAAGTGCTCTCACACAAACAAACGGTATGCACGTGCGCGCGCGCGCACACACACGCGCACGCTCACACACGCGCACGCACGCACGCACACTCTCTCTCATATTTGTCCCTCTCGATGACTTTCCCGTGGGAAAACCCAGGCTCAGCCAGGTGAGGTTTCGCCGCAGTAGCTGGCAGTGCCAAAATCCTCGCCTCTGGAGGCCAGCAGGTCTCAGCACCGCACCACCCGCCAGGAAGGTCGGGGTGGGGAGTGACTCGTGACACGTACCTGGGTGTGTTGCAGGTCCGGGGAGCACGGAGGAAGGAGGCGTGTGAGCGCTGGGTGGGCAGTGTCACAGGAGCCGTCGCTGCAGAGGGACTTTCCCGAAGGCCTGGAGACGGGAGCGACTGTCGCGGGCGGGGCAGGGCGCTCTCGGCCTCCGGGAGGCCGGAATGGCCTCTGCAGGCAGCGGGGCCTCGACGGTTTCCGAGCAGCGACTGGGTTCCGGTGTGAACACGCAGTCTAACCCGGAGGACCTGGGGTGGGAGCGACGCCTGTCAGGGCTCCCGGCTGGAACGCGCTGGGGAGAGGCCGGCGACGCCGCAGTTCGTCCCTCTCACGGGGGCCTCGGCTGCTGTGCGCCGGGGAGGCGGGGAGGCCGCGCGGGGCGAGTGCCGAGGGCCCGGTGGGCGGCGACAGGCCGACCCTGGTGCTCAGCGGCGGAGGTGGAGGCGGGGTTCCGCCGAGAGCCACCCTGGCCCCTTCCCCGGCCGGCGGCAGAGGCCACGTCCACGGCGCTGGGCGCGGGTCCCGGGGCCACCAGCGCAGCGGCCGCCGCAGGAGTGCGGCGCGCCCACGTGGCCTGGCGTGGCCGGGCGGTGCTCGGGTTCTTATTCCCGCAGGCCTGCGGCGCCGGTTCGGTTCGGAAGGAGGACGCAGGAGGGAGCCAAGCCGTCTGCAGCCACGAGCCGCAGAGCCCGCAGCGACGCGGGGCAGGAAGGAGCCAGGTGGCCACCGGGGCCACGGCAGGGGCAGGCCGGTGCGGGGGTGGGCCTGGTGCCGCCTGCTCCTCGGAGTTCTCGGGAAAGCAGAAGCCTGGAGGTTTAGGTGAAATCTCCTGGCAAGCAACCAACACCCCTGGCCGTGTTTGGGGGACTGGACTGGCGTCCTGAGAACGAGCACGCGTTCAGCGACGGGAGGGGCGGGGAGCCGGGGCTGGGCGCGGAGGGCGCGAGGCGGCCGGGAGAGGCCGTGGGCAGTGACAGGTGTTCGCCTGCGTCTCTCTGGTGCGTCTTGGTGGCCTGGTGCTGCCCGCACGCCGCTCTGCCATGGGTCACCGGGGAGCACAAGGTGCCGGTGAGCGCCCGACAGGCAAGTAGGGACAGATGTGAGACCAAGTGTACCAGAAACAGGCGGCCCTTGGGGCTCCTGCTCTCGGATGCTTAACCCTGTGGGTTCGTTTGCTGACCGTGGGGACGGCCCGGGGCTAGGCACCCTAACGACCAGGAAATCGGGTTATTCTGTTGCAGGTTTCCCAGGGAAGGAAAACACGGAGCGGGGCTTCAGTGATTTCAGGCGGAGGGCGGCAGTACTCCCAGTACAGAGCTGTCTGGAGAGAAGTGGGTACCTGATTTTTTTTTCCAGACCTCCCTTATGCTTTGGAAGCTGAGTGAGAAAGGCCACCCGTAATTTTACTATGCCCTTGCTTAGGTAGACTTCAAACTTTCCTACGATGTATTTAAGAAATAAGAGGGGGCTGGGAGTAAACACAATGAGAGGGAATTTTAGGGGTTCCAGGCAAATGTGCTTTAAGCATAGTGGAGACTTGCAACTATGCCAGCTTTGCAGGTGACTTTTTGTGAAAAATAATCTTCGAGTCTGTTTCTTTATAGAGGTAAAATAACTGAGTAAAATTTACTTTCCAAGTATTTCCCTATGGGTAGGAATTTTCTCCTTAGAGTGCAATTATGCAAAGCGAAATTCCCTTTTTGGTGCGAATGCTTATAATAAAATCTTGGCAAGGGTCATATGGACCTATGGAATTCCGCTGTGGATTATTTCCATCTTCCCCTTTCCCAGAAAGGCTGCCTGCTAAGATTCTCTTCCAAAGACAGGTGGACTCAGGAAATAACAAATATAACCAAAATACCCAGATGATTCTAATTGTTTAGGGCAGGGTTTTGACGTCTCGGGCGGCACGACCCTTTGCTATGGGGGCTGTCCTGTGCGGTGGCATGTTTAGCAGCATCCCTGGCTGCGACTCCCCAGATGCACACACACTCCCTTGCCCCACCCCCAGTCCTGACAACCAAAACTGTCTCCACATTGCCAGATGTCCCTGAGGGACGGACTCTCCCCTAGCTGGGGACCATTGTTTAGCAGACTGACTGCTTGTGGAAATGTTTCCCTAAGAAAATGTTATAAGAGATTTTATCACTTCAATAAATACTGCAAACTTTTCCTAGAGATCAGAATACTAAACAGAATGAATGTCTTCTATTTGTGGAACAGACGTGGTGTTTCTGACAGGCCTCCCCTTTCATTCATCACCCACTTGGTGCTCACAACAGTCCTGCGAAGCACCCTCAGCTCCTCCTCAGCTCGAGCAGCCCTGCGGAGGGCACCCGCTGGCTTCTGCCCAGTGAGTCCGGCTCACATTCCTGGGGGCCTCACCCAGCAAGCATTTCTGAGGTGGGTGTACCTAGAATCATTTAGGATCATTCCCTTCAAACCTTTCCTTCAATAAATATTAGCCACTACTTGGCCTTTAATTAGACTTGGCCTTCTTTAAGTGCCACTTTTCCTTATTCTTAGGAAGGCACTGAGAAACACACTTAGCACAACCAAGTCTTCATCATTTGCCAGGAACAAATGCCAACCCTTAGTTGGAAATAGAAGGATAACAGGCTTTTGTTGTGGTCTAACAGTGAGAGGTGGCTTCTCCAGAGCCAAGCCTGGGTGTGCCTGGCATGTCTACACAACTCAAAAACCTTGCAAAAGTACACTTAAGGGAGACCAGAGACCTGCTGAACATATGAGCACCTAGTGGAAATACAAAATGCTAATACATTTCTAAGTAGCCCCCAAACTGTTTTCTGAAGCGAAGATATAATGCCATGTCACCTATATACCTATATATATGTAGTCACCTATATATAGTCACGTATTGCTTAATGAACAGGATGCATTCGGAGAAATGTGTCGTTAGGCGATTCTGTCATTGCGCAAACATCACAGCGTGCACCTACACAAGCCTAGATGGCATAGGCTACTACACACCTACCCTGTGGCTCCTAGGCTACAAACCTGTACGGTATGTTACTGTACTGAATACTGTAGGCAGCTGTAACACAATGGGAAGTATTTGTGCATCTAAACATAGCAAAGGTAAAGTAAAAATAGGGTATTATAGGACCATTGTTGTATATATCGTCTGTCATTGACAGAAATGTCATTATGTGGCCCATGACTGTACCTGTATATATGCCACATCACCTTTACACCTATCATGTATGTAGTCTGTGTACATACATGTGTGTATACACAAACAAGGAGCAGACTGAGTCTGTGATTTTCAAAACTGTTGTTTTAGCAGCTTTGTGACTTTTTTCCTTTCTCTCAAACATTACCATTAGCTTAAATCACAACCAGTGTTGTTTCTATGGTGAAACACACACATATGTTCTCTCTCTCACACCTCGCCTACTGGGAAATGAAAAAATTGACACCTCAGCACAAGAAAATTGTGGGAAGTTTTAGTTAAATATGTTCATATTTAATAATGGAGGGATAAAAGGTTTATGAATTAAGGTTTTCATTCTGATGATGTTAAAAAAAGGAGATGAGAATTCGTGTGCTAATCCTTTATATGGGGAGAAATCTCTAAGTGGAAAACTGCATGTAGGATTTTAGTACGTGCTGAAATATATGGTATTTTAAAGCACTTCTTTAACACAAAGGTAGATAGTAGGATTTATTTTAATTTTTCAATCTGAAAAAAAAAAACAAACCAAAGAACAAAAAACCAAACTATCCTCATATATATATACAGTGTCAACATTTTCAGAGCACTTACATCAAGAAACATTGTTTCTCTTCAACCGTATGACAATACTGTATATGCCACAATAAAATTTACAAAAACAATCGCATCAGCAATCATACGAACATCATGATTTTACATTTCAATACACAAGAAAAAAATAGACATCTTCCCGGCACTTGGCTTCCTCCTGACCACCAGCCTGTCTCCCCACATGCTCTTAGAAACCTCCGCTTCTAAAACCCAACAGTGGCTATTTTAGAAATCATATCCTTTCCAGATCCAAACTTAAGTAGTGAGAAATCTGCCATTTTAAAATAACAACCAAGAGTTTATTAATGGATCTGGTGAAGTTTACCCACCAAAAGACGTGTAAAAAATTGCATGAAAGTAAAAATAAATAAAGCTGTTGTAAAGCAGCCCTGTTTACATGGTAGCTTAGAACAGAACACTTAAACATAAAAGTGTCGTTAAAGTTTTAAAAGTAATTACTTATATTCAAATTACAACTTTTTGACAAATCTAATGAAAACAAACTGATTTGGTAAAAGGTTAAAGACTTCCACATTCAAGCTCGGTGCGGCTCCACGCGCGTGCGCTCCGGCTGCGGCGGGCGGTGATGGCGCATTGCTGTCTCCGGACATAAGGCACTGAGATCCGCGCACGCCGTGCGCCCGCCTTATGTCACGTCACCTGTCCCACACCAGTGAATTCTTTGAAATGAAAAATAATAAAAATTTCAGGACACAGTGCACTTTAATGACATACAGCATTTAAAATCCTTCAGACAAAGGTCTGAAAACAGTCTTTTAATGCAAGCCTGAATCTTCAAGCACATAAAATCTTTCTTTTTTATGTTTAGTTTTAACATCACTGGAAAAAATACCCATCATTAAACCCCGATATACATTCTTAACCATTTTACTCTCTTCTATTGCAGCCAGTGTTCATGAGGCAAAACGTGACCCAGAAACTTTGTTCAAGTTCTCCTACGAGGGCGTCTACATTCACGGTGGTCATTCTGTTTCCGTCTCCTTTTGTTTGGCACCTGTCAGCGGATGGAAAATGAGAGTTACAAAGCTCACACTGACGGCAGGGCTCTCTACAGCAGTGGTTTCTACCTGTGCCCGGCAGTGCCTTGGGAGGATGACCCAGAGGCTTTGGAAAGGGGAGAAGTGGCAAGGGCAGGTGGCTCCAGGACCCCACTCCCACCCACCATGCTTGCAGTCCTGATCTACGTTCTAAATATGCAAGATTCAATTTGAAGAGAAAGAAAGGGTTCCACTGCTAAAAAAATTTAAAAAAGAAATATGTAGGTATGTTTGGGAGAAGGTACAAAGTATTTCAGTTGTGCACGTTTATAAAAATGTAAAAAAAAGCATTATAACATTTCTAAGGATAATTTCACATAATACCTACAAGTATCTGGCCAGGAAATTTCAAAATGGATTGGGAGGGAGAACCACTATTTTTCTCATCATAGTAGTTTCTCTCCTAGTTTTTTCAACAGACATTAGACTTTTGAAAGAGATTAACAATCGGCCGGGCGCGGTGGCTCACGCCTGTAACCCTAGCACTCTGGGAGGCCGAGGCGGGCGGATTGTTTGAGCTCAGGAGTTTGAAACTAGCCTGAGCAAGAGCGAGACCCCGTCTCTACTAAAAATAGAAAGAAATTAATTGGAAAAACTAAAAATACATAGAAAAAAAATTAGCCGGGCATGGTGGCGCATGCCTGTAGTCCCAGCTACTCGGGAGGCTGAGGCAGAAGGATCGCTTGAGCCCAGGAATTTGAGGTTGCTGTGAGCTAGGCTGACGCCACAGCACTCACTCTAGCCCGGGCAACAGAGTGAGACTCTGTCTCAAAAAAAACAAAAAAAACAAAACAGAGATTAACAATCTATTAGAATAAGTGGGTAAAAAGTTGCAGCTACTATCATCATATTGCTTACTCACTGGATGCCTGTGTAGATACTTAAGTTCATTTGGACAGTCTGAATTTGACAATGAACTATTGCTGAAAGCTTTTTGAAAAAGAGAAAATGTTACTGTATTGAACCAATATCCTTACTGGGGGCATTATGGCCATTATCTGGTAAAAATAATCACCATCAGTACCTTTTAATCACATGATAGTGGATATTTCTATTTAAAAAGTACCCCTTACTGATTATTCCATAAATATGCACCTAACAGTACTTATTCTGGGCACAGAGCCTTATTATGCATAAATAGCTTTCGCTCAAGTTTTTCATTTCATCTAGTGGTATCTCAGGAGGGAGTTGGGCCTTCATCAGTCTGCTCACTCTGTAGTTGAAGAAACTGGGCTAAAGGAGGTGAAGTAACTTGCCGACCTTCAGACAGCTCTCAGGGGGCAGAACCAGACTTGGACTAACAGTGCTGGCCTCCTCGCTGGCTGCTCGTGTCGTGCCGTCTCCGAGCACGCGTAAGCATGCCAGCTACTGCAGATCAGATGCAGGCCTTCCCTGACTTCCCGGTGAATTCTACTCCAAGTGTTCACCAGTAGTCCAGTTATGAGGAATGCAGAACGTTTTCCGCAACAAATAGTGTTATATACACCGTATCATAAAGAGTTCCAATCCAGCTACCCTATCTTTATGACATGATGTCTATGGTAACATACATTCCAAACTCCAGGTGGAAACAGATTCTTCCCTGTACCAAGAGATAGGAGGAACATTGCAATGACTTAGAGTTTTTGAAATATCAAATCTGGATGGAAGTTCGAACTCATTCAGCCCAACATTCTCATTCTTATGGGTTGAGACACCCAAGGCAAGAAGAGGATATGTCACTTGACTTGTTTACTCTGAGTCTGTAATGCTCTAAGAATCTTGGCCAGAGGGACAGACGAGAGCTGAAATTCAGCCTGACTCTGCTGGGCAAACTGTGTGCCTTGATCCATGGCTGGCCACCTGGAAAAGGGTATCTTTTGCTGAAGGTGCCAAGTTATGTCCCTGGGGGGATAAATCTGCCCAGGGAAGAGGTTTTTTCTAATTGCAGGAAGGTGCTGTATAGTTATGCCTCTTGGAAATATATAAATGTAATCACAGGGTGTGGGTTGATTTGGCTTCCTTTGCTCAACATGGTTGTGAGCTTCCGCCACTGTTGACTACAGTGATACTGTTCATTTTCAATGCTGTATTCCATTGAATGAATACATACAATTTATCCATCCTTCTTTTGAAAGATATTTAGATTATTTCCAGTTTTAGGGTACACAAATAATGAGACCAACAGTCTCACATTCATTTAGTTGTTAATATTCCATGATCATAAAGATTATTGGGAGTTTCAGGTTCTTTGACACTTGAAGTTGGAAGTGACTCCATCAGGCCCCAACTCTAGAATTTCCGGTCCAGTAGATGTGGGGTGTGGCCCCAAAACGAACATTCTGAGGACCGCCTGTGAAAATGACTGTTCTACTGGAATCTCTTGGTATTCTTGTTTGGTGAATAAGATATGTTTCTTACAGGTAGTGAAGGTTTCTTTAGAGTGGATATCTTTAGGTTACAGACTGTTAACCTAAAAACTAGTCTTAGCTGAATTTGATTTTTGAACTAAAATCAATACTGCCGTACACACATCATTTAATATTTGACTCCTGAGAGTTCAAAGGACATGCTGCTTAGTCTCCCATCTTGGTCTTGTGGCCCCGCCAAAGGCTGGGTTCCTATTTGATTGGGGCTGGGAAGGTGGAGGAACGGGAAGAGGAGGAAGGCAGGCAGGCAAAGCTGGCAGTGTAAGAACGCTGGAGCCACCTCTTAGACCAGAGAAGGCCAGCTCCTCACTGACCCTCTGGAATCCTGAGAGTGTACTCACAGCAAATCTGGTAGAAAATGAAGTTAGCCACAGCTCCATTTGGTAATTAATGTAATTTCCATACAATATTAATGGAGAAAAGTTTGTGTTTAGGTATTTTGTTTTATATACTCAAAACACTTGTCTTTTTTATTTTTTTTAAAGAAAGATGAAGGTTTTAATAGTTAGAACCCCAAGAATTTCCCTCTGTGTTTTCCAGTTGGTAGTCTTCCAATAACGCAAAACTGAAGAGATCTTAACTCTTTAATGGGAAAGAGTTTATGGGCACAGGTCCCCCATCATTTAGGCACTGCTGGGATGCTGCCACGTCGGAATACTTTATCTATCTATAAACTCTTCCCACCCAAGGACAACATTCAGACTTCAAAACTGGAAAGAAAATGGAAACGGTTTACAAAGTAATGCACACAAAGCCTTGATTTGTAGACGGGCGGTGGAGAAATGACGATTTAAATGCCGCACTTAACGGTGATACCCCCCACCCTCCCAGACAACTCCAGCACGGGTCAGAAATCAGCACTTGTACCTGCTGGCGTGAGTATCAGGGCTTGCAGAATGTCTGACAGGGAGATAATGCCCACGATACTGTCTGCTTCATTTACCACCACCAGCCGATGGACCTGCAGACAAGAGAAAAGCAAGTCACACGTGAAAGTAAAAAAATAAGTGTTAAAATGGACACTGGACAAAATGTCATTCATGTACTTATGAATCCCAAGTACTTAGGACGTCAGAAGTCATTCATAAGTACAATGGATACATCCCACAGATGAGAGAAAGCAACAGTGGATGGAGCCATATGAAGATCTCTGGCCCTAATGTTAAAGTGCAGTGCTAATTCGCTTGACCACTTTTTAGAAAAGTGAGCCAGCTATGTTCTGCTGTTTTCAAATCTCAAGATACTCATATATGAAAGATACCACTCAAAGCACAGAGTAAAACGTAGCTATAATATTCTTTAAAAATTTTTTAAAAAAAATTATTAATTCTTTTTGGAGATAGGGTCTCAGTGTGTCACCAGGATGAAGTGTAGTTGTGCGACCACAGCTCACAGCAGCCTCAAACTCCTGGGCTCAAGTGGTCTTCCTGCCTCAGCCTCCTGAGTAGCTGGTGCTACAGGTGTGTGCCACTGTGCCCGGCTAATCTTTAAAAAATTTTTTATAGAGATGGGGTCGCTATGTTGCCCAGACTAGTCTTGAACTCCTGGGCTCAAGTGATCCTCCCACCTCAGCCTCCCAAAGTGCTGGGATTACAGGCGTGAGTCACCATGCCCAGCATATAATAGTTTCTTAAATAAAACAGTTTTAACTTTTTAAAGTATATCTCAGTTTTTAATAACTATCAGATACCTGGTTTTACGTGGGAAAGAAGTCCCAATGATTATGGAAACTAAGAAATAGGGTCACTGCTCTTAACTATGAGTGTTCATTTTCTCTAGTTGTCTTTTCTCTATGAAGTTTATATATTAAGAATGATACTCAAATAGATAAATGAACTCTAATAAAGTGAAATAGATTATATTCATCTCTAGTTCTCTGCTCTAAAATCTTTCCTAAATGAAGGGAGAACATTCTGAGGCATTACTGTAACAAGGCATCCCCGCCTGGGGACAGGAGTGAGCCTCGACTGCTATTCCGACTCAGACGCTTTAGAACTCAGGCCAGTGGCAACCACATGCCAGCTGGTTACCTGGGAGACACTCTCTGTACTGAACAGTGACAACACCCCCAGTAGAAAATGGGGACACAGGAAGGAGATGGAAAGAGGGAAATCCTGTTTTTGTAATTTGGCTCTAATGATACTATGTTGGAGATGTTTCTGACATCATGGCTTGCTTTAGGCAAAAAAACCCAAAAAACATACAACCTCCCTGCCCCAAAATGCGCAAATCACTTGGTCATCTTCTCCTGGCAGTCCACATACATTTCTTTTAAAAGTTTCTCTAAAAAAACTTTTAGGTTCTTCAATAATCCTGTGACATAACACATTTATTAACTATAATTGTAAATTAAAATGATGGTTTACATCATCAGAGAATGCCTTATATTCTATACTACACATTTTGTTAATATTCAATGATAATAATAAATCCAGTGATAGTAATTAAGTCACTATGTTTTGAACTACTGAAGATCAAGGGGAGACCATCTTACCCAGAGAATGAATAATTCTACCAGATAGAAATGATCACCAAAAATATTCTGTTGTCTGTTGTTGAGTCTAAGCTTACAAATGTTCCTTGTCAGAGGTACCTAAAAGTTAGTGCTATGTTTATGGTCATATCAATAAATGGAATCGTTACTGATACTGAATACCCTTCTAACTACATTAAAGCTAAAAACTGTTTTTTGTCGCTCTGGGATGAGTCATCTTGTCAAAATTTTAATGAGGAAAAAAGTCAAGATGTATTCCTGAGTCAATTAAAACCCTTTGGAAAAGAAGTAGTGACGGATATTAAATTCAAGTACAAAAAGGGAAAGATTCTAGTGAAACATGTTAAACGTGTTAAAAGCCATGACAGCTGAAGCTGGGGGAGACACGGACAAGGACAGCATGGGGTGGAATCCTTGAACATGGAATTACAGGAGGGCTAAGTGGATTTCTAATAACAATGGCTCTTGAAAGGGATGTTGTGTTTTGATGCCAGGTAACATTCCTATTCCTGTCTAACAAGAAAGGAAAGAAGTGATTTTGGGAAAAGGTATACTGAATTAGACATGCCACAAAATGATCTCTCTCCTCTGTTATCTAGGGTGTCTATGAGGTGAACTTGAACTGCAAGCAGGGAAGCATATGGGGCATCTGAGCGGGAGGCGTGGGAGTGGAGCGTTACTAGGCCAGTTACTATTTCTCTAAATCAGGAAAGAGGGAGAGAGACTGGTGGGAAGAGAGAAAATTGGAAAACTTAAAATTAAGTTTTATTTTACTGATTTATTACTCACTTTAAGATCACACACATTACACATTTTTAACTTTGAATTCAAAGTTCTAATGTGACTTAAAGCTTCTGGGACAGCTTTTGTTTTCTCAAGTATATATATTTTTAAACCATGAATGCATCTTACCAGTTTATGTCATTCAACTAGGATAGCAGGACTTATAAATTCAATTCAACTAACCTTTAGAGATCACCCACTATAGTGTGCCAAGAAGTGTGCCAGGTTCTGGGACAGGGATGGAACGCTACGCGACTGGCCTGCGGGCCGCCTCGCTGGGCCTTTCCCGTGACCCGAACTTCCGAGGCACTATTCACCTAGGGGTTGCTGCAGGATGACTGGGAGGAACAGGATCTGGGAAAGCATTCTCACCTCAGCTCTTACTATCCTGTCCACAATGGCCTCCAGTATTTCTAGCTTATTGCACTTCACGACACCTTCAAAATACTGTGAGCGGTGCTGAAGGGCCTGGGTCACTGTGATATCCAGGTTATTGTATGTTTTCTCAGCAGCAAGATTCTGTAATAAAGAATAAATTACATCCTTTCATTTCAATTCACGTGACTGACCTAGTAAGCTTAAGACAATCTGATTTTTAAAACCTTTAATGTTTATTTGATTTAGTACCACTGTACATCGAAAGTTCTCTCATTTCAGCTCTTCACATGCCATCAGTACTGCTATGTCATTGTCTTAGCAATCATAATTAAAGGTTTCTTATCACGAGGTATACCTTACATACGAAGCAACAGTGTTAAATCCTGACAGCTTATCCTGCCCAAGCTTTCCCCTATCCTCGCCCTCTAATGTGCCATACCGTATGTGAATAAAATCTTTGGGATATGGTCTAAACGTGTAAAGGATGACAAGGGCCACGGGGCTACAGAACCTACATCAATAGACTTTCCCAAGGAACAGGGTTTGCTGGGAAGGCTTTGGGGGACCAAGGATCCCAAAGCAGCCACGGGGATCAAGCAGCCACGGAGGAAGAACAGGCCTGACGAGCCCCACAGATCCACATGGCTTCTCAGGGCTGATTACTTTTAGAGGGTCCCACTCAACCAAAATTCCAACAAACATATTTCTTGGTGTCTATTATGTTAAACAGAAAAGGATGAACTAAAAGGTTTGAGTCAACTGCAAAAGCTAATGGGGAGGTCGTCAATATTGTGGCAGAAAATGGCGTGCACTTTTGGGGCTACCCAAGAATCTGTTCCCTTTTTCTCCTTAGAATAGTCGTTCCCCATCTGCAAGAACCGGGTGCTCGTGACACAGGAGCCATGAATTCCTGTGTGCACCAAGACATGCCTCTGGGCAGAATGAAGAGTCAACTACATAGAAGTACGGTGATTTAAAATATACGCACATGCCGTAGTGATGGATAAACAGATATATACTGAAAAGGCAAAGAATTATAAACTGCTGATATATAAGTTATTGCTAAAGCAATGAATAGTGAAAGCACAATTACTATGAAGAGTCTATGAAATTCTCTGATAATATCCTCAGACTCAAAAAAGTTAGGACTAATTAAGTTAGGAAACGAGGAAAAATATAAAAACAGATTAAATGAATACATTTCAAAATGCATTCTAGATGACAAGTTTAACGAAATTAAAAATACTTACAATTACATCAAATTTGGAATAAATATCTACAACTTTTCCTAAAAATAAAAATATATATTAGAAAAATGACTTAGGAACAAAAAAACTCATTTAAAATCAGTTTTAACTAATTACTAAGGATTAACACTGATTGATAACCTTGTCTATTTTTAAATGGACATGAAATCATACCTTAATAGCAATATGAACATAAACCAGTTTAAAATTTTTATTATCCTATGCTCCTTGGTGCTGAATTTATTCACGATATCTAAATTTTCATCCCTCCATCCCCCAATCTGATATGCTAGGTCATTTCACAATAATTTTACCCTGAGATAAATAGCTGTTTCTGTTCAACTGGCCAAACACACAAACCTGACTCATCCACAACAGGCAGCGCTGATATTCGTCTTTCCACAAATATATTCAAGGCTTTGATGATGGGAGTGTCCGGGTGGATGAAGGCAATGTTGTGGTACGTCCCGATCCCAAGCTCGTCCAGGTTCTGCTTCATGAAGGCAGGCTTTGGCATATCAGACATCTAAGCAGGAGAGACATGCAAACGCTCTAGAACCAGAATACAGCCTTTGAATGTTCAAATGTCCAGATTTGAATGAAAAACTATGTCCAACAAATTAGTCTTTTCTAACACTCTACCTGGATGTCTGAATATGAAAAAATTACATATAAGAATTGTATCTTTTGTTCAAACCAGTTTGTATGTCTATACCTATATAACTACTTAGTAAAACATTACAAAGTGTTAACATTGGAACATTTTTTCCTTCTCTTCACTCACTAAAAACACGGATAGAGGAAGGGAACAACAGGTCTATTTGGGAAATTAAGACCTATAAGCCACCAAGAATTGAATCCTTTATTCTTGATTATTCACATTAAATTCCTGGTCCTGCTGTCAGCATTAAGTAATATTTATTACGAACTCACACATTTCCAAACCCAAAGCATTTGATGGTGGCTGTCTAAGCAGCTGCTAAGCTAGTCCTCACACCACCCACCTCTACATTCTGAATTCTCCTTGGAGGACTCCAGTTTTTGTCTACTAGGCACAAAGAACAAGCCAGCTGAACAGAATTAAAAGAATCTTTAAAAATTAACTTTTTTTTCCATGGGCTGTTTTAAAGGAGGAGGGATAAGTCAGAAGAGAAAGTCTAGGATCATGTTTGACTATAACAAAATAAGGTCTACGGTTTCAAAAATCCACCTTTTATAAAGGGTATAGTTGATTCCATCCTCCTGGTGTACCTTATAATTATCAGGAAAAGATGAACAATTAGAAGAAACAAAATGTTCAAGTCAAAGAGTTCATCAATATTCAAATCATGAGAATCCTAGAAATTTAGAGAAAAAAAAGAAAGACCTATTAGGTCATCTAGTCCATCTCAATATAGGATAATTCCCTGTTGTATACGATATGCTTAGGCTAATTTTCAAATGTTTTGATGGGTAATGCTACTTTTTCTCAGAAAATGATGTCATAATTCAGTAAAAATCAGGCTCTGAAATTTCTTTATTTAAATTCTATATTTTTATCTGAAAACCTCTAGCTGAATATTCTGGTAGCATGATTCTCATTACCACATTGGCCCAAATATAAGGCAGTACCAGGCAGAGGCAATTTCCTCTACTTTTTATAGAAGAGAAAAACCTAAAGTAGCTCTGAGAATGATCAATCTCATGCTCTTACTCCCTCTTCTGTGGCAGCATGCTAGCAGAAATGGTCTGGGCTGAGGAGTCAGAGACTCCTGGGCTTCAAATCTACCGCTTATTATCTGCATGACTTTGGCATGTTTCTGAGCCAGGCGCCTTGTGTGCACAAGGAGATAAAATGCCTACCTCCCAGGTCTAGTGGATGGACAAATGCATCAGAGTTAGGGTGGCTGCAGAATCAGAATGCTTGGTTTAGAAGCTGGCTCTACCACTTACCAGCCACTAACCCTAGGTAAGTTCCTTACCCTGGCTTAGATGCATCACTTATGAGACAGGATTAATACAAATACCCGACAGCGAGGATGAGATAACGTAAAGTGCTGAGAATACTGCCAGACACAGTAGTAATCAGCTCTCATGATTAATATCACTTTAAGATGATTACTCTAAAGACTAAATGAGCTACAAGCCTGGCACAATTGGGCCCTGAACACATGACCCCACCCAGCCCCTCTGTTTCTATTGAAGCTCAACTACTAAGGCTACTGCATTCCCAGATGTGAAGTCTGATATCCATACTGATGCATCTCTAACCCTTTTTTTTGGTAAATTACTCTTCTCTTTCCTACCTTCTTTCTTAGCATTTACTTAACCATGGTGTGCTATCTGCCTACATAAGTCAACTATTAAAATACAGGACTGGTTTGATCGACGAGGTCTCTCTCAATCACCAAACCCTCTGTGCTTCTGTCAGCAAAGGGGGCCCTCAGGCTGCCTCCCACTGCACTGGGATGCTATTTAGCTACGTACGCGGAGCTGTGGAGAAGAAAATGGGGAAGCTAATTGGAAGTTGATTTTTAATATGTTACGTTCTTTAAAAACCCACTCTTCAAATTACCTCTTCAGAACCAGTAACGCCTTCTCCACTGTTTCTATGTGACCGATCGTTTAGAACCGCAAATTCAGTGCATATAATTAAAAGGAAAACATAAAAACCCTCTCAGAAACTCCCTATTCTTTCCAAGCCTCTTTTAATGTTGCCGACCAAAGAGGTTCTAAGTTTTGGGTGATTATGAAACCAGTTCATTTTGAAAGCAGTTGAGGAAACCTACAGATAATACAGGCCTAATTTGGACCAACATGGTATTCTCTTGCCAAAATTTTATTTGCTCTGGGTTTTTCTACCACTGCTGCAGTTTATTAAAATAATCTTGGGGACAGTATTTTTTTTAACATGTTTCTAAAATCATGACACCAATAACAGCACTATAAAGCAATTTTTGCTCTAGATATCGGCTCAATTTGTTTTGTATACCAGTCCTTAATTAGACTGATTTGCAAATTGCTTTATTTCCCTTCATATGTTAGGTGCTAAAATGTTTTAATTGAAATAGAGAATGCCAAACATTTTTTATAATTGATACTTGCACCGAAAGGTGATTGTTTTTTAACTGGAATCAACTTTGAGATTGTACAATTCAAATAGTAGCAAGTTGAGAAACTGAAGCTTAGAAAGGGAGATCTCAAAACTAACAATTTTCTCTATTGAAGGTAATAGGAGCCAATTTACTTGAAGTAAATTAGTTAAAGAAAATGCAACTATGTCTTTAGAAATGCTAAAAACTACTTACAAAAAGCTGGAGGAACTTGAGGATTCTTTTGTGGGTAAGTATATAAAGTGCATTCCCACTGATAGGGTCAATAACTGGCAATCTGTGGATTTTATTTTTGATCAACGAGTATACAGCATCGAAGAGGCTGCAGGAAAAGCCATTAAAGTTGTTAGGAGGCTTCAAAGAAAAATCAGAAAACTCTGGACCACCCCTACCTTAAAGCATTTTTCAATGTTTTTATGTTACAATAATAACAGTGTTTTGGAAAAGTTCTAAATTAGGGATCTCAGCAAATTTTTTGATTTTTCACAATCTGTGTTAATATATCTCAAATACGAGTGCAAGCCACAAATCTCTAAAAGAGGAATTTTTTAGTAGTGCACTTAGTGATTTTATGTGAAAGATGACAAAATCTAAACCCTTAGGAAAGCTAACAGACTAATAATATTAGCAACAGAGCGAAAGCTGTAGCGGCAGACTCCGGGATTGGGGAGCCAGCCATCTGGCTCTGCCACTGGGCCAGCCTGGCTAGAGTCTGTAGAGCCAGCACTTCTGTTCTACTTGGTGCTTCTCCTTGACTGCCACTAAGGAAGCTTTGTGGGTATATCTTTTTTTAGGACTTGGAAATAAAACAATGAAAATAAACATTTCACTTTTTTCTCTGTAGTGCTCTTGAGTTTTAAAAATGCTTTTATCCAAGTGTGGAAATGTATCAGAGTCATCCCAGATGGCTTGGATGGAAAAGGACAGACCAGAAGACTGCAGAGAGGGCAGCTCATTCTCCTGCCCGCCTCTGAACTGATGTTTAATGCACACTCATTTCGAAATGCCAGTGTGGATCAGAATCGCCGGGGGAGTTGGTGTTTACAGGCATATCCCAGGCACTACTCTTTAAAGACTGATTTAGCAGGTCCAGGGTAAAGCCCAGGAATGTGCAATTTCGACATGCTCCCTAGACTGGTTCTCCTGCAGGTGCTCTGGATTTTCCAGACTGCTCATTGTGACCATGTTCCTAGTCCATCATCAATCCTGTGGACCAACAGTGGCTGTGATTCCTATTGTTCCTAAATTTAAGTGTATTTGGAATTAAGGAGGCAGGCCCCATCTAGATTAAAGAACAAGTTTGTTTCTATTATGGTAATAAAACAGATAAATCTTAATGAATGTTTTCAAAGGAGGAAAACTACAAGTTTACCTTGCATCTGGAGATATATTCACTAAAGGCTTAAATGTTTCTTGTAAATAAAGCTCTGTATTTATAGAAAGAAAATATGCAGTTAGTAACATATTTGCTATTTACAGTTATTACATAAATTCAAATACTCTACAGTTTGCAAATAATAATTAGGAGGATTAAAAAACTAAATAAAAAGAAATTTAATTTGCCTAAAACTGTTGTGTTAATTATAGTTATGGCTATTTTAAACAATCGTCAAACTGTTTCCAGGATGTTGCCTTTGCACAAAAATTAAATTTTTAAGAAACAATATAACAATAGATGCTTATAGAATCAGGAAAAAAATCAAGAAATCTGATAAAAGAGCAATACCAGCAGAGGTCACTAGAATGCTATCAAGTTAATATTACTCTCAAGAAATGTAGCATTTATGAAAACCTCGAAAACTAATTTTCATAAGTTATAAGATAAAATCAGTTATAATAAATTTTGCTCTTTAAATGTTCTTAAGTATTATCTTACCAAATTAGTGCTCAAAACTCACTGTATCTTGAGAATCTTTCTAGCATATAAAATTTTTTTCTAAAGATATCAACTCTAACTCATTTGCTTTACTGAGGTTACTATACAGAAGGCATCTAATAAAATATCTCAGCATTATTATTGCTACCAAATACTATGTAATGTCAAAATTTAAATATACTTAAACCTTGGTCTAATAGCACTTGTACATTGGAATTTGATACGAAGGATCTGTCTTGGTGTTAAGTTACATAATCACTTCATAATAGGCCATATGGATCCCACATTGACTTATTTTGTTTGGCCTGATAAAGTCATAATAAATCAAATGTATCACTCAACGAAACTTCTAAATCATACGGAATTAAAAGAGCTCCAAAAGCCTTAGAGAACTCTAAGGGATGCTCCGATTTTACATCCAGTTATAAAGGGTGCTTCTCCTACCAAGCACATTACGGAAAGCAAAGCCAAACTTCTCGATTTCAAAAGAAAATTTTCCTTTGATTGGTCCCTTCATTCCCACCCAGGCTTTTCCTTGAACACCCCACAAAGGCTCTGCCATTTCAGACAGACTAGGCCCTCAGTGATTCCCACCAACGGGCTCCCGGCCCAATGCACCATGATGCATCTCACAATTGAGAAGTGAGAATTTAAAACCTGGTTCTGCTGCAGAAAAGGGCACTATGATTTTATAGGGTAAATTTCAACGAAGGTGACAAACAAAAGAACATGGTCTTGAAGTTATTTCCATGTTATTTGTTCCAAATCATCTAGTTGAAGGTTCACTTGTCCTACAATTCTCCACAATTTGTAAAGGATTATTAAGTTTAAATAACAGATGCTTGCTTTTGTTAAAGTTAGGCATGCCTTTGTTGTATTTTTTAACAAAGGCAAATTTTTGAGGGTCACACTTAGTAGTGAACAGTGGCTCTGGGGCAGCGATGTGGGTTTGTTTAGCTCACTCATCTTTATGTTCCCAGCCCCAAGGGAAGGCCTTGCATGGTGTAGCTGCTCTACACATGTCTATTAAACAGAATGGACAACCTTTATAGCAGCATGGCATACTATTGAAATTAAGACAGAAATAGAATGTTTTAATTAACATTTTATTAAGCAGAAAGAATCTGCAAAATTAAAACATACTTATATACTAAGAATAACATTTTTTCCCTGATATTAAAAGATTTTTAATACCCGATATTGCTTACCCCTCCATGTTTCAATCTTATGTTCCTCTAATTCATAAATCTGTACCTGTAAATAACAAAAATTCTTATTTACACATGTTAACATACAGAATATAGAATAAATACTTGGAAAACAATATAAAATATAGCTTTCATAATAGTATTTTCTGTTCATAATTAGAAAATGAGGTGAAATATGGAGGAAAAAAATGTATCCTCAAGTATTAAGAAAAACTTTGGGTTGTACAGTTAGACATAAACTGCTTTTTAGCAATTTTGACTTAATAAACTATCACAGAGATTCTTTTTTTTTTTTTTTTTAAAAGAGCTAGGGCCTTGCTCTGCTGCCCAGGCTGGAGGGCAGTGGCCCCATCATAGCTAACTGCAGCCTACAACTCCTGGGCTCAAGTGATCCTCCTTCCTTAGCCTCCTGAGTAGCTGGGACTACAGGCACACACCACCATGTCTGGCTTCAAAATCTATCCATTTGAAAATCATACTTGTGCTGATTTTGCTAGTCCAAAAGCAGAGATATGATGGAGGAAAACCAGTATTCACTTGCATTGATAATATTTAAGAAATCTGACATGTCATGTGGAATAAATATAGAATATTTACAAAGTCTTTGGGAAAACCTCCTGTATGTCTTACGTGTATGTATTACGAAGAAATTCATTTTTAGCCGAGTGCGGTGACTCACACCTCTAACCCTAGCACTTTGGGAGGCCAAAGCAGGAGGATTGCTTGAAGCCAGGAGCTCGAGACCAGCCTGAGCAACAGTGAGACCCCATGCCTACCAAAAATAGAAAAACAAAAAATCAATAGTTCCAGCTACTCGGGAGGGTGAGGCAGGAAGATTGCTTGAGCCTAGGAGTTGGTGGTTGCTGTGAGCTATGATGACACCACTGCACTCTAT